GCAGAGAGAAAGGAAAGCTGTATTGTGTATCAGAGGGAGTGTCACACTGGGATCCATTAATGGAGATTGATAGGACAGTATTGTGGCCCAAGGGCTGGGAGGCATGGATCACTAGATTGGTTCAGGTGAAAAAAGCCCATAGGCCCATCTGATCTCATCCCTCCAGAATCTCCACCCTACTGTCCCCCCCCCCCCCCCCACCCTCACAGCATCAAATTGTTTAAATAAGTCAATGAGTCTCATTGTCCTGGTCTCATCCACTCTTCTTGGCAACCTGTTCCAGTTGTTAACTACCTTCTGGGTAAAGAAAATCCACCTGGTGTCTGTCCTGAAATTGCCCTTTGCAACTCTAAATCTCTTGTTCTACTGTCGCTATGAATGAAACAGGAAGTAATTTTGTAGAACATCTGGTCTGTGGTACTAATACTCAGAGGAAGGGGACTTTTCACTGCCAGGCCAGAGTCCCATCAGAGTCCTTCCTCTGTCGGAATGCCAACACACCAACACACTCCCCTTTTCTGCATAAGCTGATTGTGGTATCTATACTGGTGCTCTCTCCCCCACTGGAGCTCTCTATTCTAATCCAATTCCCCGCTCACACCCATTGCGCATATGCTGGTGCTCATTCCCAAATAGAATCTCTACTCTAATCTCATCCTTACTCTTTCCCCATTGTATTGTAACCTGCATCCCTGTACTGGAAAGATTGTTGTGTTCAGGCCTATATCAAACAACAATTACTTTTGTTTGGGAGTGACTAATTTTATTTGGGGGATTGTTGGCTAGGACACAGGCAGAGAGAAATCCCTACTCTTTTTGAATAGTGCCAGGGGATTTTTAACTTCCACCTGACCAAGCAGACAAACAGTAACTTGGTTTAATATCTCATCCGGAGGATGGCCCCTCCAGCACTGCATTGGTAGGTCAGCTTAGACTGCGTGATTCCAAGTGATGATGAGGAGCTTAAACCCACAACCTTCTAACTAAGAGGTGAGAGTGCAACCACTCAGTTAGGCTGACATACAGGATGTCACAATATTACCTGTGAAGCAGACAGGTGCATTTTTGAACCATACCATATCAATGGCTCAGCAGGCACCGACCTGCCCCATCATTGGCGAGCGGGCTTTCAGACAATCTGCCGACACTCTATGGAATTCCATCCCAGAGGCCCTCCAACTCATTCTCTCCCTCTCCTCATTCAAGGCACTTCACAAAACATTTAATCGCTTTCAGTCAGTTTCCGCCTACCCCACCCTCCTCGATCCCACCCCCAGCTCAGTTGCTTAGCCAGTTTGCACCATGAAGCACTTTGAGACATCCTCCTTTGAGACATGAAAGACGCTGTGTGAATGTAAGTTGTATTGTATCGTGTTTGCCTACAAAATACATAATTATACTTTACAGTAAATCCTGTGAAGCGCTTTGAGTCATTTCAATAACATGGTAAGGTACTATTTACAAATGCAAGGATTGTTATAAATTTACTGGCAAAGGTGTGACCATCCCGTGAGCTGCAATCACCTTACACAATGCTCCGCCAACCCAGTCCAATCAGGGATGGGTCCCTTGGGGTAGTAAGCAAGAGAAAAACTCAGACACACACTGCTCATCATATGATTACTGTCTCGATCACTGTCACTCTTCGCACTACACTTCACAGTGAATCCTGGTAAATGCTGTCAGACATCTCGATGATGTGATAAGGAAAACACAATGATTATAATATTTGTAAAAAAACATTCTCATGATTATAGTCTGTTGTACATTTACTTAACAGGATAGGGGAGCTACGCAGGGAGCTGTACTGGTGACATGCTTGACGACAGAATGTCGGAATTGAGCCAGCCCTCTTTGGCAGCCTTGGTAGTCCGGTTCCTGAGCCAGGTAGAGCCATCGTGTTCCAGTGCATCGCTGATGACAGCACATCTGCAGGACTTGGAAGGGCAGACCAGTTACTGGTTATTATTATTATTATGGTTATTATTATTATCTCTCATTCTTCAATTGACCTGATTGGAACCATAAATCCTACATTTTAAGATTGAGAAGAATTTGAGAAAATTCAGTCTCAATTTGGAAACTGGCTCTTAAAATCGAGGATAGGGCTTCCAAATTTCTGTTTCTATAACAGGCAAATGGGATTGAAAGGATTGCTCTTTAAAAGAGCCAACACAGAACACAATAAGTGTTAACTTTTTAAAATAAAATGGTCTTCAAAGGCTGATACCCTGAGAATTTTGAGGTTTGGTGGACCTTGTAGCATTCAGTCCATAATCGCACACAAAGCCATATGATTGAGGTGAAACTGTGGGACTGTGTCCCAGCACAAGTAGGAGTTGGGGCAAATTGAGAGACAGTATAAAGATCATCCCAAACCTTGCCTCTAAAATTAACTCAGCAATCTGCCAGCCTGGTTCAGTGGTAGCGCTCTTGCCTTTGGGTAAGAAGGTTGTGGGCTCAAGCCCCACAACAGGACTTTGAGCTCACTATCTAGGCTGACACTCCCATGCAGTGCTTGGGGAACTGCTGTACTGTCAAGACTTGCTGTCCTGTGCATCAGACGTTAAACTGAGATGCCACCTGCCTGTTCAGGTGGATGCTGAAGTTCCCATTGCACTATTCAAAAAGAGGAGTTTCTCCCGGTGTCCTTGCCAACAATCTCCCAGATAAACTCAAGTCACTCACTCCATGGCTGTTTGTGGGGACATTGCTGTGTGCAACCTGGCTGCAGCATTTGCCCACAAAATGTAATCACTACAGTTTACAATATATTTTATGAAGTGCTTTGAGACGTTTCCACAATCTGATAATACTCTATATCAAATGCAATGATTGTTGTTATTAATAATCTCCTTTACCAATAAAGAGTAATCACCAAGACCTAATCTCCCGTAACCACAAGGCACATGTAGAACACTTCTGACACAACAAATTACATTTGTATTGCGGATTTCATGTCAGGAGAATGTCCCAAGGTGCTGATTTAAAGTTCATTAAAAGCGGAGAGGTGGTGGGATTGAGTCAATGAGCTACAGAAGTGTAACTAAAGGCACGGCTGCCAAAGGTGGTGCGGGGGAAGATGTAGGGGGGAACCATGCAGCAGGACCTGTGTCCACTGAGCAAACGGAGCAAGCAGAGGAGTGAGGCATTAGGGAGGTGCTAGGACGTGGAAGGGTTTGTATGTCAGGACGAGGATCCTGAAATCAACAGTCTTTGCTCGTGCTCAAACCCCAACATTTGACCAGTATCTGGCTGCCTGCACAGTTGCTCTAACACACGTTTAAGCTGAAAGCGAGGCCTCTTGCACAGCACTGCTTAAAACCAGCCTCCATTTCTGGGGAGAATAGTGGCCTGGTCTTGCCCGGGCTATCACACGACTGATTGAAGGCCCAGAGATGCAGCATGAGTCTAATTACTGGGGAGAGGACAGGGAAGGAGAGGGGAGGGCTGGAAATTGGCACTGCAGGCTATGTGTTTCATTCAGGAGCAATGTGCACATGGTTTGAAAATAAGCTTCAAAAATCCAGTCATCTCAGAGCTGCTTGGCTGTCAGCCACCTTAACTCACGTTCTTGCCCTCTCACCTACTGCCTTACTCAGCCATTGATTTAAACTGAACCCAAAGTCCCAAACACCAGCTAACCTAAGCTTGGCGTAAACTCCAGGGGTATCAGGTCATATGGGGCAAGGGCAGGTAATTGGAGTTGACGTATAGATCAACCATGATCTTATTGAATGGCGGAACAGGCGCAAGGAGCTGAATGGCCTACTGCTGTTTCTATGTTTGGTGGGGAAAGGACACGCAAATGGGACTGAAAGGATTGCTCTTTAAAAGAGCCAGCAGAGAACACAATAATAATAATCCTTGTATTTGACGAGTTATTACATCCTTGAGACGTCTCAAAGGGCTTCACAGAACATATTGTAAAGCGGATTGACTGTGTATTTTGTGGGCGAAACGCAACAGCCAATCGTGCGCAGCAGTGTCCCAAAGCAGTCGTGGATTGAGTGACCACATTTTTTTTCCCGGAGGGATTATTACCCCTGGAAACAAGCTACCAATCGAATAAGTTATCTACTTACTTACTGCTAGGTAAACAGAGGCATGTGGAGTAAGGAAACTTGTCTTAAGGTTTCGCTCCGCTGGGAATCGATCCCTGGTTCTCTCGCTTGTGAGACGAGCGCGCTAACCACAATTCTGCGGGACTCCACAATGGGCCGAATGACTTCCTTGTGCAGTTTTTAGAAACGGCTTACAAATTACAACAGAATTCCCCTTCCCCTTCCCCACCCTAATGTTAAGACAAAATGGGTTTACCCGGCTAAGACTGGTGGAGTTTTGGGGCTTTTATAATAATAATCCTTGCATTTCATAATAGCACTTTATCACATCTTCTAGATGTCTCAAAGTGCTTCACAGAATAGATTAACGTGAATTGACTGTATATTTGTGGGTGAAACGCGGCAGAAAATTGCGCACAGCAGCATCCCACAAACAGTCGTGGATTGAAGTGACCAATTTTATTATTTTTTTTGTAAGGATTATTATCAGGTGTATGAAGTAAGGAAACTAGCCCAAGGTTTCACCCTGCTGGGAATCGAACCCACATCTCTCGCTTGCGAGGTGAGTGCTCTAACCACTGAGCTACAGGACTCCACTTTTGGCATCAGAAAGCAAAAATCTGCAGCGGTTGTGTACACACTACAGGGTTATATAACATACGGTGAACCTCACACACCCAATATGATGAATTATTTTGCACAATAAAAATAGTCTCAACTGTGAACAACAATCTGCGTTTACCTAGCACCTTCCTGCTGAGTAGCGGGCAGGAGTGCTATCAGATTAGCTGATATATTGAAACTCACTGTGCAGTTATTATACTGTGTAACACCGATCGCACTAAACAGGCCAAATAATATTTCAAAAAATGCGATTAAAAAAAACACAAAACGCTTTCTTTTTTTTTGTTTGCTTTTTATATATAAAAATGCACTTTTTTTTGTATTAAAAGTCTTGGACCAGGCGGGGGGGAGGAAACTGTTAAAACGCTCGTTTTCGCAGTTAAATTGTACAGTGTGTTCAGATTTCCACTCCGCTCTCTCGTCATTGTGGGCCTGTGAAGCGAGGTTAGAACACGGAACAGAGGGTAGGTGAACCCTCGCTACCAGGGAACGGAAACCATTTGGGAATTTCCAAACCCAAACCCTTGAAAATGACGTGGAAACGGAGTTTGAAAGAGGCAAGGCCGAAACGAAAATAGTTACAAGTTCCACCAAGAATAGCCGGTCTGTCTGTCTCAGCATGCTTTGTGCGGATATTGGGAGGGAATTATTGTTACGTACAGTTGACGTGCTGATTGCTAATGGGAATGTGTGGTGGCTTGCACAGATTGGCACATACTGTCTGTCTCACAGCAGTCTTCAAGGCACTAGGATGACTGAGCTTGTCTTGTGGGGGCACACCGACCAAAGAGGAACATTAACGGATATCACCAGTCTCTTAGTCTCCTCTTTGCTTTAAATAATAGTTGGGTTGGTTGGTTGGTTGGTTGGTTGGTTGATGGTCAGCAAAGCGCAGTTACGAATACCCACTTCCTCTCATTTTTTTTTAAATAGCTGGGCTCCCAATATCTCAGCAGGTCCTTGAGGGGAAGGCAAATGGTTACAGCAGGTGACGAAAATAGAAGGAATTTTGTCCCCCACACACATTCCACGTCGTGGCAGTGCTGGAGGTGTGACCCGCCTCACAGCCAGCCCCCTCTCCGGTCGGTCAGTCCATGTATGCACCAGCGCAGGTCAGAGGCCGTCACAGCAATGCAACTTTGCATAGAAATCCTGCACCTGGGGAACAAGAATATTAATACAATTACAGGCAGATCCAACCTGGCTCAGTCGCCAGCAATCATGCATCTGAGTCGGAACTTTATGGGTTCAAGCCCCACTCGAGACTTTGAACTTGTACAGTCCAGGCTAACTGACACCCCAATGCGGCGCTGTGGTGGGGTGGGGTGGGTAGAGAAGGTGTCAGGTCTCTGTGCAAAGAGGAAGTGACTGTAGACAGAGCCGAAGAGGTAGGTTTTAAGGTAAGATTTAGATTAGGGTTTAGCGGGGGCAATTTAGGGGCACTGCGGTGGGCAAATTGGTTGCCCCATTCACCTCCAAATTCACAGTCACTACATTTTACAGCACCGTGCTGTGAAGCGACTTCCTGACCCGAAAGGCATTCTACCAAATTCACAGATTATTATCATCATCCTCTCCCCTCCTTTACACACACAGCACCACAGCCCATTGAAAAAAAGGTTAAGCTTAAATTTAACCCAAACCGGCTAACCGCGGTCTTCACTTTAAACACATACCGAGCACGAAGGGGGTGCGGATGCCAGCGAGTCTCAACAAAACGGTGGATCTCTTACTGGGGGTGTGTGGGTTGGGATAAGAGGCTGAACATTGCCTCAGGCCTGGTAAACCCACACTGCTTTGGGCCAGTGGAAATATGCATTGCACAGGCACAGATGAGAGGGTTGGTGAACTCCCCCACCATTTTACATGGTGAAAGGGCTCTCTTTCTCTCTCATACGCTATCACACAGAAAGAAAGAGGTGTGCAAAAATAAGCTGCCTCTCAAATAAGGGAGCATTATAACCCAAATAATGCAGATTTCTTATGTGTGTGTGTGTGTGTGTATTTCTGTCTCTCTTTCTTTCCTCTCTCTTTCTGCTGCACACCAGGTTCTCTGTTCCTCTCCCTGTCCTTTGTGTCAGTGAAAGTAATGATCGTGTGTGTGTGTGTGTGTGTGTGTGTGTATTTGTGTGTGATTTGTATATTAAAAAAAAGCAAAAGCTTGGTCTTATTTTAAGGAAGGGGTTGGGTGCACCCAAAAAAAGTTGGGTTTTTTTTTAAAAAGCATTTGGGTTCACAACCCAACCGGTACACAAAACACACTCACACACACACACACAATACACAGACAGATACACATCACACACACACACACACTCACGACACACAGCTACATACACAACACTCACAAAACACAACCACACACACAAGACACACAAAACACAGCCACGTACACAAGAGCAGACAGACACATACACACACACAGACACAGACAACCACATAGAGACAGACACACAGATCCGAAACACATAGGGAAACACACACACACACACAAAACACACACACACAAACACATAGGGAAACACACACACACACAACACATAGGGAAACACACACACACACAACACATAGGGAAACATACACACACACAACACATAGGGAAACACACACACACACAACACATAGGGAAACATACACACACACAACACATAGGGAAACACACACACAAAACACATAGGGAAACACACACACACACAACACATAGGGAAACACACACACAAAACACATAGGGAAACACACACACAAAACACATAGGCAGATACCCCCCCCCACACACACACACACACACAAAACACATAAGACACACAAAAAAAAGACTGATATGGAGCAGATACCGAACACACACACACACACACACACACGCGCTTACTCGCCCCTCACCTTTTTTCGGGGGGGGGGAAACATCAAAATGTCGCGGAGGGGGTTTTCTCGGGGCTTTGTAAATAAAGCCCCAGTTAGAGGAGGACACAGGGAGAGCAGCACTGGTCTCCCCCGTTGGGCTGAGACACATAGTTCATCTGCCGGACGATCTCCGCGAACAGCTCATCCACAGAGATCTTGTTCTTGGCCGAGGTCTCCAGGAAGGGACACGACCACTCGTCGGCCAGAGACTTGCCCTCCCCGTGGGCCACTTCCCGCTCGCCTTCCAAGTCCACCTTGTTGCCCACCAAGATCATGGGCACCCTCTCGTACCTCTTCACCCTGATGATCTGGTCCCTCATGGGCCTGATGTCCTGGAAGGACTGCTGGTTGACCAGGCTGTACACCAGGATGAAGCCCTGCCCGTTCTTGATGTACAAGTCTCTCATGGAGGCGAACTGCTCGGTGCCGGCGGTGTCCAGGATCTCCAGCACCGAGGGCGACGAGTCCACCTCGATCTCCTTGCGGTAAAAGTCCTCGATGGTCGGGTCGTACTTCTCGATGAAGGAGCCGGTGACGAACTGGACAGTCAGAGCAGACTTGCCCACCCCCCCACTGCCCAGGACCACCACCTTATACTCTCTCATGGCCACAAGGACCCCCTCCCCCCCACCCTCCCTCAACACCCACACCCACACACACCCCAACACCCACACCCACCCCCCAACACACACTCACTCACTCACTCACTCACACACACTCTCTCTGTACTCTCAACTGATGGTGATTTTTGGACCAAAACCGCTTAAAATGACCACCACCAACAACAACAACAACAACACAGCTATTGGGAGACCAACAACCACTGCTCATACACCTCTCTCTCTCTCTCTCTTTTCTTTTCTTTGCCTTCCTTCACCCCCTCGTCCTGGGTTTCTTTTTTTTCCTTGGGTTGGGTTGGGTTGAGTTGGTAAAAAAAAAATCCTTCTGCCACTGAGCAGAGCCTTGGTACACAGAGAGGGTATTTTTTTTTCTTGCTCTCTCTCTCTCTCTCTCTGTGTGTCTTGTCTGTGTTCTCTGTTAAAAAAAAATGGGTTCGTCCACTGCTTTTATATTTATAGAGAGAGAGAGAGAGAGAGAGAGAAGAGGGGAACAGCACTGTGTTGTGTTCAGCTGTGCAGTGCCACACTGGTTAAGGCGAGGTCTTTTTTTTATTCTGGCGCAGAGACTCTTATTGCTCCCACGCTCAATTGGCTCTCCTCCCCTTTCCTCCCCTCCACACACACACACACACACACCAACATACACACACACACACACAACACACCAACACACACACACACCAACACACCAGCCTTGGCATTGCACACAGGAGGAGCTAAGGGTTGAGCAATGCAAAAGATCAGGAACTTGTGACACACACCACACACAACACACACACACACAGAGAGAAAGGGAAGGGAGAGGGATTTTTTTTTTGTTGGGAGTTAAATGTAACCGCTGCATTTTGCGCCGTCCCGCTCCACCCCGCCCCGAAGGTTCGGATTAAACAGCACGCGGAGTGTTACCGGCGCACCTCTTTACGCGCCCCGTCTCCCTGACCCTCCGGGAGCTGCAGATCGTCCAGGACGCCGCAGCTCGTGTCTTCGCCCCCGCGCCTGCAAAAGGGGCTCCGTGACCCGATCACACACCACACACACACACACCCCCCCTCACCCACACACACACACCACCCTCTCGCCCGGCTCCACTGCCCTCCCCATCACCCCCCCACACCCCATCCCCAGAGGATCGAGTTCGAGATCCTCACCCTCACTTTCAAAACCATCCATGGCATTGCCCGTCTCTGCCTCCGTGACCTACTAAACCTTTACTAACTTGTCCGCGCTCTCTGCCCGCCCGCTCCATCACCTTGAGCTTCTCTGCACCCCCCCCCTCCCCCCCCCTCCGGTCACCCTTTGGAATTTCATCCTGGTGCCCCTCCGCCTCACCCCACTCCTTTCAAAGCCCATCTCAAGGCCCATGCTTTTCGCTGCCCTCCCACCTCTGTTGATCCTAAATCCCAGCTTGGGTGCAAACCTTTCACTGTCCAACACCGTGGGATATCCTCCCGCCGTGAAAGACGCTATTTAAATGCAATTTGTTGTTGTTGCTGAGTGAGCAGCGTCATTCAAGAGAAAGCGCATAATGACAGTCAGGGAAATAGGCTGGGCTAGCCACAGCTCAAGGTGAAACGTTATCTTTAGATTAAAACTTTCCATTTATCTGCACAGCAAACCAAGCCTGGCCTTGTCAGCCTAATTACTGACAGGCATAATAAAGCTGCTTTGATTCTATGTAAAATAATAATAATAATGACTTTCATTTGAACACAGAGCTTTTCACCCACAAAATAGTCGATCCACTTTGCAATGTATTCTGCGAACCACTTTGAGACGCCTCAGTGATGTGATATCAAATGCAAAGATTATTATTATTTTTATTATTTTCAACGTTGGGAGGTTGTCTCAAAGCACTTCACGGGACTTACTTTAATGTGCAATGACTGTGTATTTCGTCAGCAAACACGGCAGCCAATCCCACAAACAGCCATGGATTGTGTGACTTTTTTTTTAAAGGGATCATTACCTATGTGAAATCTGAAATATGATTATATGAAACATCTGTGACCACACTGAATAAAACATCTGTAACTCCTCACAGTGAAACACCAGCTTGTCATCGCATTGTGGGCCACAGGTTGGCCATCATTAAGCTAAGACAAGGTGGGACTTCATCCCTGTGCGTTTCATTGTTAAGAACCTTGACTTTTCTTTATAAGGAGAAAGGTGGAGATAAAGCAGTGTCCTATTTGGGCCCTCCTCAGGTATCTTATTGCTTAGAGCATATGTGGCTAAGACACTGCAGACTTAGTGTCCCACTTAGAGGAAGAGTGAGGCTCAGGCTGTCATAAAGCAGATGGAAAGGGGCAAAATTACAGGGCCTCATACGCTCCAGAACGGAATGATAATTAACACTTGAATGCTTTCCCTTGGCAGAGAAGTTTTCATGTCAGCACAGTTAATTATGCTCCCAGAAAAATACAGTTATGAACCGTATGAAACCTCTTAGAGGACTCCTCAGATGATGCCACTTTCAGAATGTGGAATTTAAGCCACACATCCCTCCCCATCTGCCCCATTCCCTCCCGGCCTTGTCATGTCAGCCTGGCTCAGTGAGCAGCATTCTCGCCTCTGAATCAGAAGATTATGGGTTCAAGCCCCTACGTGGGGACTTTGAACTCATAGACTCGGCTGACACTGGGGGAGTGCCGTATTGTCAGAGATGCTGATCTTCAGATGAGACGCCATCTGCCTGTTCAGGTGGATGTTAAAGATCCCATGGCACCATTTGAACACAGGAGGGAGTTTCTCTCTTCCGGTATCCTGGCCAACAATCCCTGAGATAAAATCGCCTATTCATTTTATGGCTGTTTGTGGGACATCGCTGTGCGCAAATCGGCTCTCTCGATCGCCTGCAGAATACACAGTCACTACACTTTACAGTAAATCCTGTGAAATGCTTTGGGAATGTATTGCCAATGTGACAAGATACTGGACTGAGTGTGAAAAATATTATGATTATTATTATGCCCTTGGAATATTTCTTCATCTGTACCTGTAGTGCAAATGAGTAACTTTCCGCGAGGGTTTAAAAGCGCAGTGGGACTTGTGGGTGTGTGTAAAGGAAACGGTTAAGGGTTTAGGAACGGGCCACACCTTGCGATGAGTCTGTGGTGCTCTGTGAGCAACAACAGCGTAACTGTAGTGACAAAGCATTGCATGGCTTAACCAGGATCTAAGAGAAGGTCTTAGGCAATTCATTCCCGCAGGTCTGAACCAGCCAACTTCCTGATGGTGTGCTTGATGTTGCTCTGCTAACAAGAGTTCAGCTTCCAGTTTCTGAACCACTGTAGGTGCAGTTTCGATTACTCTGACAATTTTACTGTGTCACGCTGTTTTCACTATGATTCATAATGGAATGTGGCTGTCCGTCACCAGCCATTAGAAAGCAAACCTCCGCACCTTTACTAGTAATGCTGTCTGACTGCTGATGTGGCTCTATACTGGGTAGCAGTTTCAGTCAGCAAAGCTCGCAGGGCCTCTGAGCAACAGTCTGAATGGAACTATAATTTAATATTATCGGCTTCAATAATTTATTGGAAATTATTATGAATGATTTAGTATTACAAATAATCCTTGCATTTGATGCGGCGCTGTTCACATTGTCAAGACATCTCAAAGAGCTTCACAGGAGTCACTATAAAGTGTGGTGACTGTTTATCTGTGGATAAATCATAATAATAATAATAATAATAACGATGAATGCAGTTGGTATAGCGCCGTATCAAGTCTCAAAGAGCTTCACGGGAACTACTGTGAAATGGAGCGACTGTGTATTTGTAGGCAAATGTGACAGCACGATTTTCCACAGCAATGTCCCACAAACAGGCATGAAACAAGTCATTAACTCCATGGCGGGGCGAAATACAGTCAATGCACTTTACAATATATTCTGGGAAGTACTTTGAGACTTATTAATGACCTGATAAGGCGCCATATCAATATAAATGCAAGGATTATTATTATTAAGATTATTATTATTTACAATATCCGATGGAATCTTTAAGTTAAGGACAGATTTAGATCTCAATCTGGTGACAAAATCAATTGTGGGCGGGCAGAAGGGGAGAGGGAGCAGATTATTTAATTATACGGAATACGGTGTACATTCCAATACTCCTAATTAATCTCCTGAGGGAGTTGAGTAGCATGAGATAACGCAGTGTGAGTGTCTCAGACCAGCAAATGCAATTGAGGGAATCTGCAGAATACATCTGTGAGCTTGTAATGACCTCATGTAATGATCTTGCCCAGTGATGTCGGCTATTTGATCCCACAGGAACTCTAGGGTTTAAATCATTTCAGCTACTTTGATCCCTCACTTTCTGGAACTCTCTCCCCAAATCCCAGCATCTCACTCCCTCCCTCTCCACTTACAAAACTTTTCTAAAGACCCTTCTTCTCTTTGACAATGGTTTCAGTCACCTTATCTCCCACTCTGCACAAGATCTCACTCTGTCCACAAGAAGCACTTTCACAACATTGCCTGAAATGCGCTGTCTACTTGCACATTATTGTTGTAGTAGCTGTCTGTGTGCACAAGTTATTTAATCTAGTTAGTGCCTTTTTTGTTTGATCAGCTGGGTGTCTGACACATGCGGAAACCCATCACCATGCTTAAGAATCCAAACCAGCCTAAGAGGTCAGAGTGAGCCACTTACAGATGGAAATTCCAGAAATAGATTGTTGGAGCAGAATGCGCATTCCCTCCCCTGAGGGACGCACCCTGTTTACCTAATTCCAGAGATTATTAGGCATAGATTGGCAAGAACCAAAATTTGGGGACCACAAGAGTGTGCATTGGGGTAACTGCTGAAGTTTAACCAACTAAAACCACATAGGTTACCACTAATAGCACTGCCTGCTTGTCCAGCCAGGACCACTCTACCCATTAGGGCTTTGGCTTTGTTTTCATTCTTGCCACCGAGTCTGGACATTTTGGATTCAAAACATTTTGCCCACAAAATACATAGTCAGTCCACTTTACAGTATATTCTGTGAAGCGCTTTGAGATGTCTCAAAGACATGATAAGACGC